TTTTTTTGTTGGTCATGGTTGTTGTATGTTTTTCTCTCATATATATTTTTATTATTTGTGAGATTGTAATTGTTCCAGTCTTAAATGTATTTGTTTTTTCTTCTGTCACTAAAGAGACCGGTTTCAGATGTTGTTTCCAGGTTTAAGAAAAAGTTTCCACTCAAATATTTCTGTTTGTCATTCATAGATCTCAAGAAGTTTTCATAGCTTTTCATCAGAGATGGGCACCAAATGTAAGATGAACGGGGAATTTCGAAGGTGGAGATGTAAAACAGGAGGCTATATTTGTAGTGGTGTTCTGTTTTTTTGTTCGTTTTTCCAGCTTTTTTAAATTTTATTGTGTTAATACGTGGTTGTTTTGCTTCATTTCCTTTTGGTTTTATAGTAAAATTATAGTTTTGTTTTGCGGATATTGTTAATAACTGAATTTTATAAATCACCTGTTCTTTCTAGCAGTTTAAGCAAATCATTTTTTTTCTTGAACTGGATGTAATGAGGCTAGCAACGGGAGCAAAGAAATTGGCCAAAGTTTTATCTGGACTGTGTACTTTGATATTACAGTAGTGTCAACATGTTATTTCTAAAATTAGCTTCAGTAAGGTGTTGGTTGTTTCTAATTACCCAAGTCAACGAAGTAGGCAACGTTTATTCTGACAAGATTTCCTACTTTTTGGAAAAAAGGATGCTCTTTTTGCAAATTTTGAAGTTCAGATTAGCCTCTTACAGCAGAATCTTCAACTCAACGTCCCCATTTCTTCAGTCATCGTGTTGCCGCAGTTTTTGATAGCAGTGAAATTACGGCTGGAGGCGAGTAACGTGCGTGTGTTTTTTAGTGCTCTTAAATAATACTTGATTACTGAATACATTTAATTGTTTTTGCAGTTGAGCAAATTTACGATGTTAAGAAATATGTAGATGAGCGTAGAGTTAGAGTTGCAAAACTTACGAGCCGTTCTCCGGAAGTGTCGTTATAAGATGAGAAAGATGCGTTTCAAGAAGTGATCTGAGGTTTGTGCATTAAATGCATCGAGGACAGAAGTGCTTGGTTCTTTCGACCAGAGAATTTTCACAAAATCTGGTATCCTGCATTCGAGAGCGACAAAGGGTAAGTGGAAAAGATAAATAAGGAGTAATGAGTTGTGACAGTAAATAAGTACTGAAAAAATAATCGACGCTGTTTTTTTGATGAGACGAGAACAAGAGGACTATGAAATTTGCTGGTAAATTTGCAGCAGTAACCCTGGACTTTCAGTAATACTAAGAATTACTCAGCAGTACTAAGTACTGCTTGTAGAATTACATATTAAGAAAGCGTTTATACTAGCTTAAGTTGTAAGCAAAGAATTAGGGCCTTGAATAATATGATAAGGAAAAATATTGACATATTTGATTCACTACTTTTGTTTTGTATGAATTATTGATAAGGCAAAAGATAAGCTATAATAAGCTGCTGATTTCTGTTTCTATTTACAATGCTCTACTTAATTTGGAGCTTGAATCAACAATTTTTTTGATTACTGTTGATACTGGGGTCCTCATGAAAAAATATTGCATTTATAGATAATGACAAGTACTATGCCTTTAATGTTATACGGTACAAGAATTTTTTTTCTTTGATGTAAAATCGATTACAGAAATTTTGCGGTTTTCTACATCGACACACAACACTAATGGCGATGTTATCCATGAATGAAACTGTAATGATCATATTTTTTTTTCCTTTCAGATCGCAGACAATCTTTTATGAATTGGAAGTTTCATATACATTTCATCATGATGCAACACTTCACCACTACCACCTTTTCATGTTGTCGATGATAAGTAGTTGTTTCTTGTTCCTTTTTCTTCTTTATGTTACTGTTTAAGGTGTATTTGGTGTGCATTTGGAATACTCATAAACGTTTTCCGACATACCATCTGTTAGGTGAAAACAAAAAAGAAAAAGAAAAAAAAATTGTAGTAACTGATATAGGAATTATCGTTGTTGACAAAACTGAACTACCATTACCGGCAGCAGCAGGAGCAGCAGCAAAATCTTCACCGTCACTGTCACCGTCACATAAATTGTTTCGTTTAAGTTTGTTACGCAACCGGCAACATTTCCAACAGCAATTATTTACGCTATGCGGCACTTACTTTTATGTTATCTTTTAAGGACGACAACATAACTTCCTACTGTTTACGAGAGGCTTCATAAATATCATATTCAGTTCATCAATCATTCTTCCTTTTTTTTTGTTTTGTTTTGTTCTGTATTTATACTCTATTTTTGACTTGTTTAATGAAAAGAAAAAAAAGTTTTCTTTCTCTTTTGAATTGAAATTATGATCTTTAAGTCGGCGTACATCAAACAAAATTTTAACCTTGTATTATCACTGTTTTCTTCTCATGTTTTAAAACGATTGTTAATGACCACTAAAAGAATTGAAAAAAAGAAAACCCAAAGTAGTATTTAATTTGGTAAAAACTGAAACAGTATAACACTGATGTAAAACAACAGTAAACAAACCAATATGACAGGCATAAAAACTTGCAGCCCAAAGAAAAAATTTTGAATGTAAAATTTGCTTGAAATTTTAAAAATGCTCTTTTTAAATAAAAAATTTTAATGATTTACCTCATCTGACTTCAATACTTTCCCCCTTCCCCCCCCCCCCCCCCCCCCCCCTCAAAAAAAAAAAAAAAAAAAAAAAAAAA